ATTATAATTAGAACATCCAATGAAATGATTTTATCAATTGTAATATATTTTATTTATATGTACATTAATACAGCTTTAAAAATGTCATAAATTGTAACTTAACTAATTACAGAAATATTTTATATAAAACAATAATTGCGAATAAAAAACATATTTTAATAAAAATATCTGATTTAATAATACAAATTAATTAAATATATAATTAAAAATTTATATTTATTGAAATATTCAATAATTTGCTTGAAACTTTAATTTTTGTATATTTTTATATTTATGATTATATAAAAAATGTTTAATTTTTTTTTACTATCTTATAAACAAACATTTGATATTATCAATTGAATCATATTTGATTTATGTTTGCATTAATTAAGTTTCCATAAAAATATAATGTTAAATGAATTGTTTAACTAATTATATTCAATGTTGCACTCATAAATTTTTTTAAGTTTTATAATTTTGTTTAAAAAATTGTATTTTATTTGGTTTATATTTACATTAATTAAGTTTTCATTAATATGAATTGTTTAACTAATGAATGTAATGTTTTTTATAAGTTATTTTATCAAAATCAATTACAAAAAATAATTTTTTTTTATAAATATCTGACATTGCTATGAATAAAATCCTTTAATTTATTTTTATTGTAGTATTCATTTATTTGTTTATCATTTTTATTTTTTTATATATTTTTATTCCTATGATATGAAACATTTCGAATTTTTAATTTAAATTTTACTCTCTTATCTACAAAAATTTGTCATAAAAACTAGAAATATAATTTTTGTGTGAATTTAATACTCGAACATTTGAGCTTTAAATGCGCTGTGCCTTGTTTACATGCATGTTAAGCTAAAAACCCACAGCAAACAGATTGTTTAAATTGCTTGTAAAAATAACAACAACAACAATTGCAATGACCACTACATGGAGTTTATTTTTTTTTAATGCTCGCTACTGAATTGGTTTTTTTTCCCGTCGACTCCAACGACTATGGCCAACGTTTATGCAGCAATTGAACCCCAAAGAGCAAAAGGGTAAATGCGAAACATCCCACTCACATAGGCGAATGGGCAGCTGATTGGGTGTCGGCTAAGTCTATACATAGAGCTATATACATATATATATATATTTTTTTTAATGAAATGCGGATACGTGGCGAGCGGTTGCTAACAAAGGAAGCACTGCAAAAATGCATTTTATTACACGTTCGATTGATTTTTGGCAAAAACCATGACCAGGCTGAAGCGGGGGGCGGTGCAGCCTGCGAGACCTTTGTTAAGTATAGAGTTTATGTTTATATTGCCAGGAGAGACTCACATGTGCATATACATATCGTGTACATACGCAACAACAACAGCCCCAGGGAGTCGCCTCAAATTGAAATTGTCGATTTAACATTTTGAATTATCGTTTAGCAAATGGTCAATATTTTGTAACAGCTAAACTCCTCATGCAGCCCCAGCTCCCCCGCAGCTGAAGCTGCCCGGAGCACACATCAAATTGTGCCACATAAATTGTGTTGCTATAAACAATCAATTACTTTGTGTGATTCCAGTTCCCAGGGTCCATTTCTCGAGGGAGTGCGACTGTTTGCTTCTCGATTGTTTACAAAAAGTTTGCGCTGTTCTTCTTATAGTTCTATATAATGTTAAATGGACTTCCCCTTGCTCTTTAGCTCTTCATTATTACTTGCTTGATTTCATATTTTTTATTTGTCCGATTCAAGTTATGTGGAAATAAACACAGATGAAACTTTAAATGGTCTTTTGTGGCATTGCCTGGATAAGTCAAGGGCATTGTGAATAGCATTGAAGCTCTCATAACGGAGGCGCAATTGATTATTTATCCAGAAAGGGATAAACAAACTGAAAACTTAACTAAAGTTACAGTAACTTTTAACGTTTAAATAAGACGGAATATGAATATCAATAAACAGCATCTTGATTCACAAGAATGATGAATGAAGAAGAGATAAGCCAATATTTTCACTCCTTTGTAGTACATACACTACTCCATAGATATTATTAGGTTAGGACTTATTCAGCCTGGAATACTACGGCTATGGCATTCTTATAATAAATGATGTAGCCATAGTAAAAGTAGTAATTGTTGAAGTAGTAGATATATAGATGGAAGTATTATTGTTATAGGTTTGTGTACTAGAAGTAGAATAACATGTAGTTGAAGTGAAAGAAATAGCATTAATAGTAGTGGAAAAAAAATAAAAAGTGGAGGCATTAGTATCGAAAATAGTAGTAATTTCTAGGAGTATTTGAAATAGTTGTATTTTGATATGGCTGTAGTAAAGGATGCACTAATAGTAATAGTATTATAAGTATTATACAGAAGTAGAAATAGTAATAGGAGTGAAAGTTGTAATATTAGTAGCTCTAGTAAGGAGAGAAGCAGTGTTAAGAATAGTATAGTATGAGTAGCAGAAATAGTAGAAGTAGTAGCAGTAGTAAATAGAGTAAGAGTATTAAGAGTAGTAGAGGTAGTAGTAGTAATAAAAATAGTAAGACTACCAAAAGTAGTAATAGTAGCGAAATAACTAATATTAGTAGTAGTAAAAGTAGTAGCAAAAACAATAGAAGTAAAACCTTAAATACTAATTGTAACCGTGTCAATAGTAGTAGAAGTAATAATAGTAGCAGGGAACGTAGTTGTTTTAAATGTGACAGACAAAGTAGTAACAGTAGTAGAAATAGTAATTGTAAATAGTAAAAGTCGAGTCAGTAGTCCATACAATAGTATTTTAAATAGTAGTAGCATTAATAATAGTATAAGGTAGTTAATTGCAGCAATAGTAGTAATAGTAATAGTAGCAATAGACTACGATTTCCATTACTAAATACAACTTGCAATAATAGTAGTAGTACTTGTAGTAGTATACCCTATAACGATTACTTTAACCTTTAATTATATAAATTTCTAAATGCCCCTCTCGCGATATTCAATATATCCCCAAGTCAAGAGTTACTGACATTTAAGGAATTCCTAAGAGTTCCCTTTGTCACAATGGGATTTCCTCGGTCTGGGTGCTGTTTCAGTATCGAAATGGAAATCATTAAAGCTGCAATCGTAAAAAATCGCTATATATATATAAGATTTCTTGGCAAACGCTTCGACGCTTTTTATTTGGCAGCTATTAAACTCACAACTTTATGGACATGACCAATGTGTGCACTAAACGCTTTGCCCGGCAATCGCAAATACTTTGCCCAGTTCCGAGCGCCGGTCCAGAGTTCCGCTAGTTTATGTTGTCCGTGCCAGGCGCGTACCCCACAGTATACAGTACACAGTACACAGCATACAGTACATCGTACACAGTGCCCAGTCCCATGTGTTGGCACAAAATACAAGCCATATATTATTCGAGTGGAGCGCAGGGGGCGTTGCACGTACAAGTGTGGCAGCTCGGGAGGTAGGAGTGAGCGGCGTTCCTTTCTCTTCGCTCGCTCGCCAAGGGCCAATTGACAGCAGCCTGCAGAACAGCATCACAATTAACACATGCCGGAATACCCAGAATCGCTGCTCAGCCGGGGATGGAGTCCAGAGTCGAGTCGAGTCGACTCGAGTCGAGTCCGGGACGTGAGTGCGCTGCAAAATCCGTGAAGCGTTGCACGTGTCACATCAGAAGCAGCGTCGAGTAAGTCACTCGCTTGCATTTCGCAGCTGTGATGAGGTTCGTGGGTCGCTGCTCTGTGTCCTGCTCCTGGCTCCACCTTCACACATGGCCTTCGGTTTTTGCCGCTTCTGCTGCTGCTGCTGCTGCTTTTATTACGTTTTGACGCATTTTAATCGTTTTTCATCATTTTGCTCTGAGGGTGGCTTCGCCTTGTTCGTCACATTTCCTTCAGCCCTCGCCGACTGACAATAATAAATTATGCTTTGACTTTTACAAGCGACCCCAACCCCTCGGCGCAGGTTCAGTCTCATAAATTGCGTAACGTCGCCGACTATTAAAAATTACATAATTGCTTAACTGCAGCAGCAGCAGCAGCAGCTCAGACAAAGACAACAATAGCAATGTCCATCCAGGCCCCGGGCCCGTCTCGACTCACTCCGCAGCGCCGACGATTTTTTGCGTAGCAAATTGCATTATTTACTTTTCAATACATTGCCAAAAGGCCAGAGCAGCAAACTACAAAGAACCAGGCGAAGGCTAAGCGAATAAATTTGTTTATAAAATTATGAAATCGACCGTAGCTAATCGATTAGCTCACGACTGCCATAGTATTTATATTATTTCCGCTTCGTTCTTATATAAAAAATACCTTCATATTTTTATTTTTACATTTTTTTTTTTTGCCAAATTTAATGCAATTATTTCTGTGCACTTGACAAATTGACAAGAAAAATCGCATAAATCATGTCAGAATTATTTTAAAGGTAAAAATTATTTAAAGTGCAATATTAAATAAACGAGAAAATCAATTTATGTGCTTAGAAAAAACCAATATTATTTTGATTAAAATATATATTAAAACTTATCCACTTCATAATTGCCTTGCACGTCTGAGCTTGTTAAGAGTTGTGGTGGAGGTATTAACAGAGTTAGTTTGCATCTTGACTTCTATTCTGAACTTCTCATTTAGCAAGATAGAGAGAGATAGAGCGAGGCAAGCTATAGCTAGATAGCTGTACAGCCGAGTAAGAGTAAGAGGCCATTTGGATTAGAAATTGTCATACGGCAGAAGGCCAACATGGCAGCCAGGACAGAGAGGATTTGATTATGTAGCGCGATTGCAAAAATATAAATTAGAATAGAAGCTGCTCAAACTGATATAAAACCCTACATACATGTATATAGCAAATATTTATCCAATGAAATGCAGTGTATGGAACTAACTAAATTAGCTCTATTTTGCATTAATAAACAGCGGAAATATATAAAAAGTTATATAAGAAGAGTAAAAGCAATTGGATATATATAAGCCGATTAAGTACAGTCGACTTGAAGGATACAACATTCGATTAGCTATGCAGTGAAAGTTTGGTATAAGAGGTAGCGCCTACGTGGAACAGCACGAGTTTCACTTGTGTCGCGAGTGTGCCGGTAGTTCAATAAAATCTGGAAGGAAATTCAATTGGTAAGTCAGCAGAAAGCAGGCAAAGATATTACAAAAGTAGCTGAGAAATCAAGATGGAATAATAATAATACGTGGCAATCTAATTGATATTTTGTTCTCAATCTGAACGTCAAATTGAGCGGCAGCATTTCATTGGGAGGCTGCACTTAGTCTGATAACATCATCAGTTACTCTTAGCTGCGCTGCAGCTGGCAGCGGTTATTGCCCCAAATTGTGGGCCATCAATTCAGCAAACTGTTCCACTCGAATGAAAAAAGTTGCGCTTTTAACTATTCAACTTTGTTGCAGTTGCAGCTTTGAGTTTTCAACAGCTCACCCGCTGGCTAGTTGCTCAGAGAGACCGACTGACTCGCTGACTGACTAACTGACTGACTGACTGACTGAAGGACTGACCGCAACTTAATAATCATTTTTGCTGCAACAATTTTTCTGCGTTCGCTTCTTCTTGTGCTGCGGCAATTAAAAATTTTTACCTTATTTGTTCCACTTTTCGAGTGTTGTCCCTTCCATGGTGCTCAGTCCCTATCAGTTACCATTCGCTTCGCTACAGTTTTGTCTCGCCCCAGGACGAATTTTGCATGGTCATTTACTTTTGCTATTTTTTTTTTTTTTTTGCTGTACACACAACTGGCAACTGGCAACTGTGACTGCGTTTGGGGCACTCTGTGACATCAAGATTGTGCGCGCCCCATCGCAGCACACGCATATCCCTGACCAATGTCCTGGCATTGTGGCAGCGCGCTGTTACTAATTAAAAACGCAAATGGGTTTATGATGTTGCACAAGTTGCGGTTCGCTTAAGGGGGCAGGGGGCAGGGGGAAATGCTTTTACTGCTGTCGCTGCACAAATGTAACACAATAAGTGGGCAAAGCAGGAAAAACTGAAAAGAAGCTGTAAAGAAAGCGCATAAAAGTGCGCGGCATTAAAACAAATTTCTGCAACGTTCTCTTTGCGTCAGTTTTGTTTCGCTTTTTTTTCGGCTCTGTTTCGCTGTGTTTGACAAAAACGGGGCGAAAAATACAAAACAAGTTGGCAGCCCAAGCTGCCACCCCCACACACCCATCCTACCCCTTGTGCTTGCGGCTTTTGCTGACTGCCAACATCTCGTTCTCTATCTGTGGTTGGGCCATGCTTTTCATGCTGTCTCGCTCAGCTGTGACTGGCATGTTTTGTGTTTTATTAGCGTGAAAATTTTTCAAAGGTGTCAGCAGTTTACACACACACACATACATATATATATATATATACATATATATATATATATAGTCCCTCTAGGTATGAGTTTAAATGTTGCTACGTTTGCTTAAAGAAGCTATTGCAACTTGAAAGGGAAACAATGCCACAACAACAACAACATATTTAGGACCCAGCCAGAGGAAATGCGGTCAACTATAGGGAAAATTCACAGTTGTAGAACAGTAGAGTATGAAAAATATTTTTAATTGCCAAAAATTTATGCTAGAGAAATCTTTTTTTATTTTATTTTTTTATTTATTTTTTTGTATTTGTTGTTTTTCTTTTGGTTTTCAAAACAAAAGCAGCCACGCCCTACGCCTAGCCGCTAGTCTCAGTTGTTTTGTCTGCTGTGCTAATTTATATGTTAATTTTTTCGTTTTATGCTCTTTTCCATAAATATATATTTCTATTTATTTCGTATAGTGTGCATATTATGAGTATTTTCTGCTAATTTTTTTCCTTTTTTTTTTTGTATTTTTGTTGATGCGCTCGCTTTATTTTTGAATAGGAAAACAGGAAAGGATCCCAGCCGCTGTTCTTGCCCATTGAAAGGTCGTTTTATTTCATTTTTGGGTTTTCTATTTTGCATGGAATTTGTGCTGAGGCACACAGAAAAAAGGGGCAGTTACTCGTGGCAACTTTTTAATTTTTGTTGGGCACAAATTAGAATAATAGTCGAACGGATATTACACAATAGATCCTGTGGGCCTGGGTCGTCGCCCATTTTGTTGGCTTGTGATGCGTGTTGTGCGGATTTCCGTTCAGTCAGTTGTGGTCAACTAGAAACCCAAATAGCGTTACTAAAAGCCTGCCCAAAACAACACGACTTTCAAACATTCGCAGCAAGTTGAAGGAAACAAGAACTGATAATCGTGGCTTTAAATAGCTATTTGTGCGTGGGTTGACGTATACTTGATGAGTTCCTTTGAATACCTATTCAGTCTTCAGTTTGAATTTTTGCTTTAAAGCCAAAAACATTTATGCTTCTACAGCAGACTCCATCTCGATTGCCTTCATTCCATGTCCTTGCAGTCTAACTTTTTGGGCTCGCTTTGCCTTATGTTATGCTCATATTTATGCCCGCAACAATGTGCGCCTCGTAAAACAATTTATAACTTTTGCGCTTTTGCCTAATAAGTTGGCATGTTGTGGCCAATAAGTTGCCGCAGCTAAAACAGGGCTCCTGCCCCGCCAAAGCTACGCGACACAAGCCGTCGCAGCAGTGCAAACTATGCGAAGTACGAAAAGTGCAACGCGCCGTCTGTCCCCCATCCCAACCCTTGTTTCCTAAAACTAAATTACAAGCATTGAGGAAACAACAACAACAGCAACAACAACAACAGAAGCAGCAGTAAGAACAACAGCCTGCAGCACTCTCTAGCGCATCTAGTTACCATTTTCCTGCCTCTCTCACGCTCTCTCGCTCTCTCGCTCTCGCCCTCTCTCTGCCGACAAGCTGGCTGCCATTTGCCGCTGTTGTTGTTGCTGCCTTAACTACTGTTAATTCTTCTAATTGTGTGCACGTTGTTTGCGTGCGCTAATGTCGCATATGCACAAACAACAACAGCAGAGACTGCAACAGCACCTATGGGAGAAGTCGGGCGCAGGAGGCGTGTCATGCAAATGTGTAACTGTTTATGCGAGCGTCGCTCGGCTTCTACACTTGAGATTTTTGTTGTTGTTGTTGTTGCTGATGGTCGTCGTGTGTCGCTTGACAAGTAACAAGGCAACTGCAAAGCGAAAGACAGAGAAAAATGTGCGAGCGAGCAAGACAGATACAACGACAACGAGAGAGAGAGGGAGAGCGAGTGATGAAGAGCATGGAATTAGTCTCTGTTCTCGCACTTATTAGTGCAAAACGCAGCACGCACTGCGTGTGTGTGTGTGTGCATGCTTTGTTATTGTTAAATGTAATTAAATTATGCAGATGAGTGCCAACATGTCGCTGCTGCTGTTGCTTGCTGCTTAGGAAAACGTTTAGCTACTTTACATATTCGTGTGGCGCAAACAGCTGGCCAGCTTTTGATAAATGTCCTTAGCAGTTAGCAAAACATTTAATTACACAAGTTTATTAAATATTAAAAAAAAAATTACTTATACACCTTGGCAGCGGTGGGATTCGAACCCACGCCTCCGAGGAGACTGGTGCCTTAAACCAGCGCCTTAGACCGCTCGGCCACGCTACCACTTGGTAGCCCTTCGAAAATAAAAGCTTCTTGAACATAGAACTAAACAAATGAAGAGTAAATATATGTAGCTATCGAATTATAATTTAATTTTCATTAGAGCAGCTCCCTCTATGATATATGTTTGCTAATTGAGACGAGAGCTTTGTTGCTTTGCTGCTTGAACTTGATTTCAAGGGCTTTTCTTGTATTTGCAATATTTTTTGAGGCACTTGTTGACCCAGTTGTTTGTTTTATGTTATGTCTGCTCGTTTTAAATAAGCTTAAACTATATTTAGTGACACAATTTATTTCTCGTTTAGTTACTTCAACATGATAAAATTTAGTTTATCGCTATTCTCACTTATCGCGGTGCTGGGTATTGTTTCTGGACAAGGAAATGGAAATCTGAAACATCTTCTATTGGGCGATTTGAATCAGTTTTTACTTGACGGACCACCGCAGCCGGCCATCTACGGAAACCCGAATCACTGTATATCGAAAGTAGGTAGCTACATATATGACATTTTTGCATAGAGGCTGATCAAAATTCATTTCTAGTTATGGTCCACTGAGTGCCCGACTGATCCGCAGCCGTATTTGATACCTATGACACCTTCAATAATTGAATATATTCTTAACCTTCACAACTACTTGCGTAGAAGCAGTGACAATAGCGAGAAAACGATCCCCTTACGCTGGAGCTACGAATTGGAAAACTTAGCTGAATCTAATGTTAGGCAATGTAAGGTCGCTCATGATGATTGTGTGTCCACGTCTTACAAGTCAACCGGACAGAACCTGGCACTTAATGTCTATACGGGAACATTGAATGCTCGAACCGATGCCGAGTTGGTATTGGCATCCGTTCAGTCATGGTGGAACGAGTACAAGGCTAGTAAGAGAGAGAAAATTGGCTTGGGCCTGAGCTTAGTTGTAGGTTGTGCCGCCTCTAGATACTATTCAAAAGGTTCGCATAATTTTCTAATGACCTGCAACTACGCTACAGTCGATGCTTATGGTCGTCTTGAGCGTGTTCAAGCAGGAGGTCCTAAGGGTGCCATCGGCATCATATTTTAAAGAAGGCTTTATTCTTGAAAAACGGTTACGTTAAGTCTAACCATATCAATTCGATATTTTCACAAGTTGTATAAATAAAGCTAAGCATACATCAAGCCATGTTTCCATAATCTTTTCAGTTTTTGTGGGTTTTCAATAAATGTTTGATTGATTTTCTTTTACTTTCTCAATTATTTGTGAACTGACAAATATATTTTTAATTTCTCAGTAATAATTTGTATTATTGCTTTGCAGAAATGTACCTCTACAGTGTATCCCTCAGTTTGATTCTACTAAACACATTTCTCCATGCACTGGGAGATGAAAAAATCGATATAACTGCACAAAGCCAGACCAATGGAGCAGTTGACTTTGATGAAAATAGCCTGAATTTGAATCATACAGAACTGGCCCAGACCAAGAATAAGTATGACAGCAATAATCATATCTCGAGAAGAGCAAAGTCCTACTTAAATATAACTGTCCCGTTTCTGGGTCAGCTAAGTGGCAGTCTTGATTTTACCTCAAACACTGCACAGAATGCCAACGACCAGACCTCAAATGTTGGAGCTAGCGGCAATGATCTGCGCAAGAATAGTTTGCTGTATATACCAAAAATTAACATCTCGAACAATGGGCAGTATATCATGAATGGCCAGACATCAAATGGGGGATTTGGTCCTAATGGTCATATTCCGATAAATGGCAACTATGAAAATAATGGTCCGACCTCGAGCAGTGGACAGTATCTCCCTAACGGTCAGACCTCAAATAGTGGATCTAGTGGCTACGGTCTGAACTCAAATGGTGGTTATGGTCTGCCTTCAGTTACAGGAAAATATGACATTAATGGTCAGCCCTCAAACAGTGGTGCTAATGGAAATGGTCAGATCTTAAATGGTGGAAGGTATATCATTGATAGTCTGGCCTCAAATAGTGGTTTTAGTAGCAACGGTCAGATCTCAAATGGTGGATTTAGTGGCTACGGTCTGAACTCATATGGTGGACTTATTGGTAATGGTCTGACTTCGGTTAATGGAAAATATGACATTAATAGTCAGACTAAGGGAACTGATCAGATCTCAAATGGTAGAGAGTATGTCATTCATAGTCAGACTTCAAATGGTGGATCGAGTGGCTACAATCTGATCTCGGATGGTGGACTTATTGGTAATGGTCTGACTTCGGTTAATGGAAAATATGACATTAATGGTCAGACTAAGGGAACTGGTCAGATCTCAAATGTTAGAGAGTATGTCATTCATAGTCAGACCTCAAATGGTGGGCAGCAAGTAAATGGACAGTATGTCATTAACAGTCAGACCTCAAACAGTGGGCAGCAAGTAAATGGACAGTATGTCATTAACAGTCAGACCTCAAACAGTGGGTATAATAGCAACGGTCAGATCGCAAATAGTGGAGGGTACATCATTGATAGTCTCACCTCAAATAGTGGTTCTAGTAGCAACGGTTTGATCCCGAATGGTGGATTTACTGGTAATGGTCTGACGTGGGTTAATGGGAAATATGACATTGATGGTCAGACTTCAAATACTGGGAAGTATGTAAGTGGACAGTATGTCATTAATGGTCAAACATCAAATAGTGGTCAAAATGGCAACGGACAGCCCAATGTACAGAACGGTCTTAACATTGCTGGTTTGGGGGGTGTTTCTGGTAAATTAGGCTTACACATACAGAACATCCTTGGTCAGGGAATTAATACACTGAAGTTTAACGTTGGCGAGTATGCCAAAAGGTGGCTTCAAAACTGCCCTGAAAAGGTATGTAATCACATGGGTTTCCTTATTCGGATCTAAAGGACCATTTTTAATTTCAGATTTGGGCAAGAGGCTGCTTTAAATCTTCTAGGCCCTACCTAGTAAATATCGATGAAATACTAAGAAATCAGATACTCTACATTAGCAATTTCTTACGCGACACAGTAGCAGCGGGCACATTGAATTCCGGGAGGAAGGGCATGGCTACAATGAAGTGGAGTCCGGAGCTGGTCAGCCTGGCTGAAAATAATGTTATGCAGTGTGAGGTTAAACATGACGGCTGTGCGGCCAGTGGTTATAGGGTAACTGGGCAAAACGTGGCACTTACAACCTACTCGGGCACCTATTCTGGACAATCGGATAAACAGCTGGTGAATGGAACACTTCAGAGCTGGTGGAATGAATACCAGCTTTACAAAGGGCAAGCTATGAGCTCTGACCATCCTAAGTATGTAGCGCCAGTTGCTGTTGGATAAAGTAATCGTAGTATACAAATCTTCTCTATCACAGCCAAGATGCTCAACTAACGGCTATGCTGAAGGCCAAGAGCGATACCGTAGGCTGCGCTGCTGCCAGATATTTTGAAGACCAATCGAATCAGTTCCTAATGACCTGCGTCTATGCCACAGCCTCACCTCCAGATCTGAAAAGCAGAATTGGCGAAGCTAGCCCCGGCTGCACCACTGGCTACAATCCGTTATTCACAAACTTGTGCAGCTTAGCTGAGCAATACTATTCTTAGCCAAGGCAGCAGCCATAAATATTCCTCACTGAATGACGTTCAATAAATATATTGAATATGTTAAGTTTGTCGTTTATTTGATTTCATATTCTAGTTCTTGAACAGTTTAGCAAGTGTTTATTTTCTCAATTGCCTTCCATAGAATCTCTTACAAACCCGAGAGTTTCCGTATTTTTATTTATATATATATTTTTATTTACTTTTGTTCCGCTTGCGAGCAGTTGTAATACTTGTACAATAGTAGAATATGATCATATATTTTGTTTTTGGTTGCCTTCCTTATCGTTATCATTTTTAATTAAATGTGTTTTTATTCCTTGTTACGTTTTAATTAACGATTTTAGTTGTTTTAACTATTCATGTCCCTTGTAATTTGCTTAAAGTCTATAAAAATTAATTTATTTATTTTCAATATATTTATATATATATATATAAATGTTTGCAGATGAGAGATTTGTCGTGTTATGAAATATGAATATGAATTTACGTTTGAATAGATATTTCAATTACAATTTTTTTGTGTTGTTCTTATTTATTTGTAGTTGTTCTTTATTTTGCTTTTATTTTAGTTTAGGTTACGTTTAACTCCCTTGTATGTGTTTTGCATTTTGTTCCATTAAATTGTTAAATATGTACAATTATTAAAACAGCGCCAGCAGCTCGTCACAAAACAAAGCCCGCAACCAAAATGATATGAAATGATAAACGAAAAAAAAAAAAACAAAAAATTGTGAAAATAAAATATTATAAACATAAATAATAAAAACGAGAAACCAATCAGCCAAATGGCTATAGAGAAAAACAACAGAAAATTACATTTGTTCGAGCATACATTTTTTATTTACACATATACGTTCATATATATATTTATATATATATATTTATATATACTTTGTATTTATTATGTTGCATAAATTGCTTTTGTATTCATATTGTGTCAATTTGTAGTACCTTCTTTATAAATATTGTGTAGTTTTGCATAATTGTTGCTATTTGCTGCGTTTCGTAAAACTCTTTATTTATGATATTTTATTAATTCAATAAGTAATTTAAGTTTACCTTCTGATTCTATTTATATGGAATTTATTAACTATAAAAATGTTACTCGTTTTTTTTTCAATTATCTCTCAATTTTTATTTGTTTTCTGTTTAGATATTGTTTTGGTTTTTAATTGTTTTAAATTTATTTTTACTCTTGAATTGTAGTTGTATTTTTTATTTGTTGTTTTTAGGCTAAATATATATATATATATATTTATATTTTGAATGACTTGTGCTTAAAAGCGTAAATAATTTGTATACAAATTTAGTTTTTAGTTTTTTCCTTTAATTTTTTTTCGTGTTTTAATAATTTTTGTTTATCCTTTGTGCATAGCATTTAATTATTTACATGAATTTAAATGTCTAAGTTAAACTTATTAAATAAATCACTGGATGCGAAAAAAGACAGCTAAAGAAGATGACAGCAGTGTTGGCTAACGTCAGCAGCCCAACGACCTAGCGGCCAGTGTCAACTGCTTGTCAAACTGAACTTGAATAACAGCTGAGTGCAGTGGCTGCTGCCTTTTTTACTTGAACTAAACGCTAATTTATACAACATGATTTCGCCTGAATAGAAGTAACTAAATATACAATACATAAATATTAATTAATGCATATATCAAGTAACAGAATGTGACCCAATTCCATCGCCAATTCCGATTCCTTATCAGCCCTTGTAGAAGTGGTAGAGCTCAATGTCTCCGTTCCGCTGCTGCGGCTTGGTGCGGCCCAAGGTGCCGCACGACTTTAGCGTATATCAGTGATACCGACGCAGGCTCCCGTTGTTGTTATTGTTGCCGTTGACCAGCACTGGGTTATTGTTTGACAGCGTTGCCACATTGTTGTTGTTGGCATTGAAGGAACGGCGGCCAGTCGTATTGCCATGCACCAGAGCCATGCCCATGCCGTTGCGCAACGGCAGCGCCGGCGGCGGCGGTGTGGGCGTAGGACTCGGCGGCATATCATGGTCCAGCGGCAGCGAATAATGTGAATTGTTGTGTATGTAGCCGGCATCAGCCATGGCATCACAGGGCTTGGCATAGACGGCGCCATTGTGATTAAAGTGATCCTGGGTGAGGCGTATGCCGGCATGGCCATTGGCAAGCGGTTGGCTATAGTGCGACAGGGTGCTCTCCTGCACGCCGCACTGGCGCACGGCCATGTGACGTGGCAGCGAGGCATTCAGGCCGAGTGCCTTGCCCCCGCCATTTGCCAGCAAACGCATGTCCTGTTGCGAATGATGCGAGCGCGGTGTGGTTGTTGCTGCTGCTGCCGTGGCTCCTGTCTGCGGATTGTTGGTCATGTAGTGAATGTGGCTGAGTTGGGCAAAGGGCGCATGCGATGCATCGACGGCGCTGGGCACTTGCAGCTGCTGCAGCGCTGTTCCTGAGTTTGTCGAGGGCGAGGGACCGTTGTGACTGGAGGGGGCACCACCCCGACCCCGCAGCTGAGGTGGGGGTGGAGCTTCTAGCTATAGCTCGGTGACTGGTATCGGCCGGCTGCCCAAATACTGCGATGAATTGTAGCTGCTGGGGCAGGGATAGCCCGACGCTGGATGCACACCGCCGCAGCCAGGTGGCTGCCGTGTCGTATACTCCTCATCCGAGAAGGTCTTCTGATACTCACGCTCCTTGCGCCCCAGCGCCGAGTGGCCCTTGAGCATTTCGCGTATGCGACGACGGCACGCGTAGATCACCAGCGCCAAGGTGGTTATCAGCGCTGCACAGCTAACGACCATGATGCCAATGATGGCCTGCTTATTGCCGCCGCCATGGGTGCAGCCCAGCAGTGGCTCGGCCAACTGCGTCAGTGGCAGCTCCCGCAAATTGGCCGGGTAGGAGCAGATGACGGGCGCATATTGGCTGCTGCCATTTCTGCTGATGAGCAGATTACGCAGCCACATCAGCTGGCAGTCGCACACGAAGGGATTCTCTGAGAGGTCCAAGGTCTGCAGGTCCGACCAGGGAAACAGGCTCTCGGAGAGCGTGCTCAACTGATTCTCCTTCAGGATGACAGTGCTCAGGTGTGGAAATCCGCCCACGGTATTGGCCAACAGCTCGTTGAGCTGCTTGTTGGCCGACAGATTCAAATGCTCCAAGTTCGTGTTGTCGGCGAAGGCGCCGCTCTCCACGCGGCGCAAGCGGTGGGCGCCCGTGATCTCCAGCTGCCGCAGCTCACGCAGTCCCACGAATGCGCCTGTTGCGATTACCTCAAAGTCGTTCTGACCCAGCGACAGCTGCTCGAGGCGAGCCAGATGCTGCAGTGCAGCAGAGGGCACTGCCTGCAGGCGGTTATCGGAGAGATCCAGAAAACGTATACCCTCCAGGCCCCTGAGCGCATCGCCTGATATATTGTGCAGCCCGGCACCGCGCAGATCCAGACGCGTCAGAGCCATCAGATCCTGAAAGGCGCCAGCCGGAATGGTCATAAACGAATTGGTGCCCAAGTAGAGCTCCGCCAGGCCGGGCAGTGCTTGGAATGTTAGCTGCGATGGCACCGTGGTAAGTGTATTATCATCCAGATACAACATGCTCAAATTGATCAGTCCGTCCAAGGCGTGCGGATCGATGTGACTGATACGATTCTGGCCCAGATTGAGCTCCACCAGCTTGACCATGGGCGAGAAGGTGCGATACTCCAGCTCGGCAATCAAATTGCCTCGCAGATTGAGCACCGTAATTGTGGATAGGCCCGTAAAGGTTTTGTTCGTCACTTGTCCAATCTTATTATGATTGAGATGCAGCTCCTGGAGCTTGGCATGATAGGCGAATGAGCGCTCCGGTATCGTGACCATGTCATTGTACGACAAATCAAGGAATGTGAGCTGTGAATAGAACTGCATCGATGAGTCGATGGTCTTCAGCTTGTTGTTCTTAATGACCAGCCGCTGAATGGACGGGTTCAATGCGATGGGCAGCACATCGAGCGTGCCCACACCGCAGTTGACTTTCAGAGTTTCGTCATCGCATTCACAGCCATTTGGACAATTTGCCAGCCCATTTGTCGGCACGAGCAGCACCAGCAGCAGCGGCACCAGCAGCAGCAGCAACGTTGACGGCGACATGGTAATTGCCGTTGCTGTTGCCGTTGCCGACGACCCTCGTCTGCTCATTATGTGCCTCTTCGTCTCTTCCTTTTCCTTCTGCTCCTGCTCTGCGTCTGTCTCTGGCTCTGTCTATGGGTTGGCAAGCCCCCTTCGGAGCTCTACTCCCTTGCTGTGTGCCTAGTCTGTGGTGTGGTTAGGTTTGTTGGTTAGTTGCCTCTGCTGTGACCAGACGTTGACTGTCTGTCCAATAGATGCAGTTGCTTCTCTCGCTCTTTGTCTCGTGGTCTCCCTTGCACTCACTTTTATTTTGGGTTAAATACGTTTTAGCCAAGTTTGCCAATGGCTTTCGTATTCGGCGTCCGACATTCGTGGCGCTCTGTCTGCTGTTTAGCCTGTAAAGGGAAAGAATTAAGAGGGGTGAGGCTTTAGTATGTGCGCTTTAAATTGATTTTCCATTAGAGTTCAAAATTGCTTGGCTTTTGGATTTTCATTGGATTTGGCAGCTGCATTCGCCAGCTCTCGCTGGCTACCCGGCAAGTTAATCGGTAGTTTTGTGGATTATTTCGCCACTGCCTGTCCAACTCCCCCACCGTCTGTGTCTCTATTTTGTATTCTCTGCCTGGCAGTAAACAAATGAAGACAATTTAAATGGCCACGGCAACAACATTAGCAACGGCTTTCGCATTAGTGGCAAAGCCAAATGGAAGCTGGCAATGGCAGAGCTTAACTCGGGGCATCGAGCAAATGTAGCTTTAATGGGCAACTAGACGGGCGCGACTCCATTTCTGTCTGAGGAATCCTTGAACTGAATGTCCTAACTAAACAGGGTCAAATAATATACAGATGTAGTGCTATACTATATAATTCCGCTTGCAATAGATGAGATCAGTTTCCGGTTCTAAATGCAATCAAAAATCTATGGAAAGAGAGCTGTGGCTACTACAAAGCCATCAACTGTGGTAGGTAGTTCAGGAGGCGTGGCATCAACTGCCTTTGCCGTTATAAAACAAAAATAAAAAAACAAAAATAATGTAAAGACCAAAAAAAATATATAAAACATAATTTAAGTAGTTAGACTCATGTTAAATAGTTTTTTTTCCCTCTTTAGTAGCCACTACTATTTTTATGAACAACCAAAATTATTTTTTTCTTTTCTTTTTTTCTCAAGCCAAAAAAAAAAAATCGAACAAAATAAAACATTTTATTTTTTTTTAATTTTTAATTTTAATTTTTAATTTTAATATTTTAACTTTAACATTTTAATATTCATCTCAAATGGTTCTCAAAACATTGTGCCTATCACTAAAAAATGCAACTTTTCGTGCTCAGCCGCACTACTATTTTTATGAACAAGGCTCTATACATATAAACAAAAAAAATCTAAAAAAATAAAACATGTATTTTAATTTTAATATTTTTATATTAATTTCAAATGATTTTCAAAATATTGTGCCTATCACTAAAAAATGCAACTTTTTGTGCTCAGCCGCACTACTATTTTTATGAACAATTCTCGATACATTTAAGCAGTTTCAATGCCACGTTTCTGGTCTTAAAGCTCCAGTGTTAATTACGCTGCTTTAATTTAGAACAGAAAGCACGCACAGTTAAAGTTTTGGGACACCGAAATTGCTTTGGCCTGTTGCCCCTTTTTCTGTTATCGGATTTTTAGGCAGTGACCCAACCCTTTGCGCTCAGTTGCCGCAGAGTCCCCAAAGTCGAAGCCCATTCAATGGCCGGGCGAGGGCAGCTCCCCAAAGGCGACGAGGCCAAAGATATGCCACATAGTTTAGTTTTTGGTCGAAACTTGAAAAACAACTTGCACTTTGTATGCTTCGGGGACATTTATCAGAAAATGGCAAAAGGAAACTTAATTTAGCGCACAACTCCGAGAAGTTCAAGGATGCCAGAAAGGATATGGGCGAAAGGCGCAACCCCAAATGGTCTATCAAATAAATAAAACAAAGATATGGAGAGGGAGAGAGAGTGAGGGAGGCAGAGAGCGGGAGAGAGAGAGGGAAAGCAATTTCTGTATTTTCTTGTTATTGGGTTTTTTGTTCGGTTCTCTCGGTCAGTCCACAGTGCGTATAAACAAAAACACAGCAGTTGGCCACGCCCCAGCTGAAACATGTTTGGCGTTGGCTTTGGCGCTGCCTTTTTCATATTTTTCAACTTTACGCATTGTGCGGCATGGAAATGGTTCGGCCCCGAAGGCGTCATGAAAATAATCATAGATGTGGGTCATACTTCATGGCGTGGGTGGGTGGTGCAGACAACTGATGGCTTTGTGTATTGTTTGCGCTGCGCCAAAAAGGATAACTGCTGGCAACAGCTCTCGAGACTGTGCGTCTCGGCTTCAGCTCCGACTTGACTCTCGTTTTTATTATGTAAATATCACATAAACACCCGGGAGCGACTCGGGCGCAATCATATGAAACAACGCCACAAAAATGGAGCGTCAGCTCCCAGGTCCTGGGTCCTACTCTGGGTCCTCAGACAGAGCAGCCTCTCATCATTATCATGCATATGCCATAAAGCGACTTGTTGAGACTGCGACTGAGAGGTTGCTCGCTTTTTGCTTATTTATTTTTGGCAGCTTGACTCGAAGCCCAACCGTTAAAAACACAAAAACAACTGACAGCAGAGCCGAATAAAGAAGCAGCTAAAGAACTGACGGCCTCTGCCAGTGTGCGGGTAGCAGCTGCTTAAGCAGTCAGTCAACACGCACTTTCAAACTGGCAAAATATTCGGAAAATCAAATTTAAATTGCTGAAATGTGAAATGCTGCTAAATGGCCAAAAACAATCCGCAGGCCAGGCAGGTTGTTAAATGGCCCACGGCAGGCATCAGACAGGACATGACCCGACTCGCTGCCAGCTATTGGCTTAGTCTCCCTACAAATGACGGCTGTTAGCAGTCTGTTTTGTTTCAGGCAAGACAATACGTTAACAGGAAGACACTTACGCGAGCCCACAACAAAATGTGGCCTAAACCAACAGCTCAAGTAGTACACAGAGCTGTAGGCTAACAGCTAACATGTGTAGACAAACTGTGTCTCTGCGTAAAGGTCAAAGTATCTTTCTAATGTTGTTTTGGCTAAGAACAAGTCTAAATTTGGAAGTTAGTCAACACTGGTCCACTTGCCGCTCGCTTTAACTTTTAGCTCTAGCCCCCACACACACAGTCAACACCTTTTAAATTGTCACCCTCGGCTCTGTCGCTGGCCTCTGTCCAGCTGACGTGTCTGCCGCTCAAAAGTATGCTCTAAATATTTTATAGCTAGCCGCTGAGATTTTCTTGTTTTCTTTTTTTTAGACATTTTTATTTGGTTTACGGACGGCGTCGGCGTCGGGCAAACCTTTTTCGACTGCTGGCCCCCGGTTTGTGCTGAACTCATTTATTAGTTCTGACTGGGTCCGTGTCTGTGTCCGGGTGTTAGCCCACTCCCAGCAGCTGACCATTGTTATAAATGTTTGGCTGTCAGTTCAACTGTGGCTGTGTAGCCTTGCGGCCAAGCTGCACACAGAAAATAGAAAAGCAAAATGGAAAAAGAAAAACCTAAGGTAGCACAAAAAACACACTCTTTTATTGTGAGTGTGTGCGTGTGTGTGTGTGTGTCTGTCTGGTTCCGCCACAGTGCCAGGCCCCGTCGGCTAGCTGCTCCGCCAGGCTGTGCTCTCGCTAGCGCTATGACTTCCGTTTTTTGTTTGCTCGGCCCCTGCACCCAGCTTTGTTGCTGCTTATTGTTTAGTTGGGTGAGTTTTTGAAAATTTGCCAGAAACAAAAACAAAAAAAATCATGGACTTTGCAACAGTTTTTCTTTTGTTTTGCCATTGCCAGGAAATTGCTAAATAAATGCATGTTTCTGATTTAATAGAGGCAGGGGGACGGCTGCAGTGGAGCAGCTCGTGCTCAATAAGTTTTCTACAGTTTTTTTTTTGCCATTTGTTGAAGTCTGCAGTGCTTTTGGGGCAGTCAAAGGGCCGCCCTCCCAGCTCCTGCTTTGCCTGCTTTATTAATTCCTTTGCCCATCTTTAAGCGGCTCCAATTTCCACTAACTGTCAGACCGGCCCCTGGCCAAGCCCCTGCCGTTGACGCTAGCAATAAACTTCAACTGGTTTGTTGTTCTTTGCCAAATGTTTAATATTTCAAAGTAACGCCAGCCAATAGCGCAGACCCACTTTCCATATCCGCATCGGAGAGTGGAGTTAAGCTTGGGAGGGTTGGGGCGGAACCGCTGCTGCTCCCTTTCGCCCTAGATCCTGGTGTTATTTATATGACAATTTCGCTTGAGCGCGCGTTAAAATATCGCTGACAATATTTTATGCTCATGCTTTGCCTCATGTTTTGCCAACGTATCACGCCCCCACCCAATGCTCCCAACTCCCCCTGCCACTCCGTCTCCTCCCATTTTGCTATGATAAACTTGGCAAATTTATCCTGCTTTGTGCCATACGTCTTTTGGCACAGTTTTAGTCCCCGTCGACTAACTCGCTGGCTCACTATTTGCACAGTTTACAGTTTCGACTTGGGCTTCGCGTCTGCATCTATAAGATACTTTCTGCTGCTGAACAAGCACAGTCAAATATTTGCAATGCTCTAGAAATAACAACAATAGTCAACAATGGATAAAGCAAAAACAAAAACAAAAACAAAAACAAAAACGAAACAAAAGAAAACAGCGAGCACTTGAAGCGCACGCACGCTGCAAAGTTGAGCGCGGTATTTGGGGCACTTCCCAGAAAGAAAGAAAAAACCATTCCTACTCCGCCCAATACTCCACCCGGCTGAAGGCTCTGTGTGTGCCAGTGAAAGTCAGTCGATGGATGAAGGCAGCCAGCAGCCAGCAGCCAGTCGTCTGTGAAATAGAAAACGAAACAATGGCTCCATTCGAAGGGGGCGTAACGAGAGAAGTCAGCCGCTGACGCCGCCCGACGCCAGAGGGCGCTTTACAATGCCATTGCGCTCGTCGTCGTCTCCGTCACACATGTTACTTCAATTCTTCGTTTTCTTTTCTTTTTTTTGGTAATAGTAATCGCAGAATTGCAACTTGCAACTTGCAACTTGGCAATTGCAAGTTTCGGATTGCTTTGCCAGTTTGCCTAGCAATTGATTTAAATGTGGAGCTCGAGTTGCAGATCGCAACGGTTCCTATTGGGAAATACTTGAGTTTTGTCAAGTAGCCACAAAGCCAGATCGAAATTCAATTTCTGTTGCTTTACTGGCAGGGAATAAGCAGCGGAGAAAGCAAGCTGAGCTGCAAGCTAACTTAAAAGTAATGCCAGAGACATTAAAGCAGGAAATAATTTGATTATTGCTACGAGAATTATTTATGGTTGAAGAATTTTGTTTTGAATGACTAAAAAGGAAAAGTTAAAGAAATTTTACTCTC